TACTCTGAACTGCTGTTGGGTGCATAAGCACACACAACAGTCAGAGTGTTCCCCCCTCATAACCCGCAGGCGTAGGGAGGCGACCCCTCTCGTCCACTGGGGTAAACTCCAACAACGAAGCACCTAACCGGGGACTTGTGAGTATCCCCACACCCGCCCGGCGCCTCACACCTTGAGCAACTCCGGAGAAGAATAGAGTCCAACCCCTATCCAGAAGTAAGGTTCCAGAGCCGACGCTGTGCGTAGAGGTGAGCCCAACCAGATCCAACTGGTAACGCTCCACCTCCCGCACAAGCTCCGGCTCCTTCCCCCCCAGAGAGGTGACGTTCTACGTCCCCAAAGCCAGCTTCTGTCGCCCGGGTCTGGTCCGTCGAGACCCTCCGCTTTCACTGCCAATCAATCAATGTTTATTTATATAGCCCAATATCACAAATGTTACATTTGTCTCAGTGGACTTCACAGTTTGTACAGAATATCAGTATGACAATACGACACCCTCTATCCTTAGACCCTCACATCGTACAAGGAAAAACAACCAGAGAAAACCCACGGTTTTAAAGGGAAAAATGAGAGAAACCTCAGGGAGAGCAACAGAGGAGGGATCCCTCTCCCAGGACGGACAGACGTGCAATAGATGCCGTGTGTAAATTGAAAAGATAATTCATTTGCAACATAGGTAGTCCAAATGTTTGGAAATGCATGTGTGTATAATAGGAAGATGAATCCAAGAGGATATCCATCCAGGACCTATGATCCAGGACCACAGCCACGACTCAAGATCCAGGGCTCGCGATCCAGGACACAGGACCGCAGGATCATCCAGGACTCCGGATCCCAGCGTATATAGACACCAAAAAGAAAGACATGGGGGAAAACTGGGTTAATCGGAACATGAGAGTACACAGGTATAGACAGAGAGAAGGAAGAAGTAAGATGTCCCCCGACAAACTAAGCCTATATCAGCAAAAACTAAGGGTGAATCTAATCAGCCCTAACTATAAGCTTTATCAAAAAAGGAAGGTCTAAGCGCACTCTAAAAAAACGGATAGGGTGTCTGCCCGCCCGAACACAAACTGGAAGCTGATTCCACAAATGTGGAGCTTGATAAGAAAAGGCTCTGGCTCCCATTGTACTTTTTAGAGACTCTAGGAACAACCAACAACCCTGCATTGTTGGAACACCAATGTCCTAGTAGGACAGTAGGGTATAATGAGTTCTTTAAGGTAAGATGGCGCCTGCCCATTAAGGGCTTTGTAGGCGAGAAGAAGACTTGTAAATGATATCCTGTGTTCTATAGGGAGCCAGTGTAAGGCAGCCAGAACAGGAATAATGTGGTCCCTTTTCCTAACTCTGGTTAGTACACGAGCTGCAGCATTTTGAATCAGCTGAAGCGACTTGACTGACTTCTTGGTACACCCTGATAATAAGGAAGAGTACAATAATCCAGCATTGAAGTAACAAATGCATGGACTAGTTTTCTCTGCATCGTTTTGAGGCAAGATATGCCTGATTTTTGCAATGTTACGTAGATGGAAGTAGGCGGTCCTTGAAATAGATTGTATGTGGGCGTTAAAGGATAAATCCTAATCAAATATAACACCAAGTTTCCTTACAGTCTCACTGGAGGCCAAATTAAAGGTGGGGTAGTAATTTTGGAGAAAACCAGCTCGAGTGTGCTACAATTGAAAATACACAGCCGGAAAAAATCTGCCACTGTCCTTACAGAGCACCCTCCTCCAACACACACGAACGCGCACATGACCAATGAGGGCACAAGATAAGTTTGTGCACAGCTGGAAGGCTGACAGGCAGGTTGGCCATCCAGTTATTTTAGCCGGGCCGGCTCAGATGATTGGTCGTGCTTTTTACAGTACTACGGCTTCCACAGATGACATTTTTTAATGGATTTTTTGTCAAAGCACTTAAGATTTACATTGCTATCGGGATGTTAAGAGTAGGGCTGGGCGATTTGGCCTAAAAATAAAACCTCGATTTTTTCTAACTAATGGACGATTTTCGATTTAAACCTCGATTTTTTCTGAAATGATATGGATCCTCCTGGATGTGGTGAGTTAAGTATGGCGAGTAAAAGAAGAATAAAACAGATGGTTGGAGTAAAGATGCGAGGACTTGACATTTATTTTGGGATCATCCACATTTCCAACAAAGGTTCACGGATGAAAAAAATGCCAATACTGAATCTGATGTTAGAAATGTTGACTGCATCTGGTTTCATATCAATTTCAACATTTCTATTATTTCCAAATGCACTGCATGGAAAAAAACCTATTAAATATCACTGTCCAGAATAATTTGGGTTGCATATTTAGTTATGTGAGAAAAATATACATTATACACTTTTGTCAATCATTTCACAATAATAGCTCAAAGAAATTAAAAGAAAGTATAAAGCATTCATATATCTTTGAAAATGGTAACACTGTTTATGAAATATGTTTTTGTTATGTTTCCAATACACAATATAAAGGCTATAGGTCATCAGTTAAACATTTTAAAAATAAAATATATAGTGTATTAATGTTTTTAATATAATAGTGGAAATAGAAAAACATGTCCAAAATAAATCAGGTTACAGGATGTTGATTTCAGGAAAGGTAATATTGGGGTTTGTTATAGCTTGCAGGAAGTTAACCATTAGAATAATTGCAATGCAGAATTCCCAGGTTAGTCTTGCTGTTGGCATCAAACAAAAAACATCACTTCAGACTGGTTTCATCATTTAAAAATATCATCATGTTGAATGATACAAATACAACAAATAATGAAATAAAAAAATACCCTCAAACAAAATAACATCCCTTTAACTTTCTAGGAAGTTTTCTACAGGTTTTTCGCGAGGAAGACAAGCCTGTCTACTGCCTCTGGCTTGAGGCATGCTCTTTGGCATGTTACAATATTACCCCCCGTACTGAAAACCCTCTCCGAAGGGGCACTTGTGGCAGGAATGGAGAGATATTTCTTGGCCAGATAACTCAGTCTTGGGAAGTTAGCTTCATGTAGCTTCCACCACTGCATGTCTCTGTCGCAGGTGCTGGAATAAGTTGGTTGTGTTCCCATGTTTTGCAGCGATCGTCTTTCTACAGACCTTACACAGAACAGTTGTTTGTTCTATGTCTGACTGCTTGTACCCGAACCACTTCCATACAACTGAACTTACTGAAGTGGTACCTTTTTTAGGAATGAGTTCTTCTTCATCTGTGTTCGTGGACATTTTTATGCTACGTCTGTCGTAGTGATGTGTCGGTCGCGAACTATTTAAGTGAACGACGGGAGCCGGCTCTCGCCCCGCGAACGAGCCGTTTTTTTTTGCGGAGGGATCGACATGAAGGCACATTATGCAATGTGCAACTCGCTGCACATTATCCCGCTTATTACATGGCCAAATTCTCAGCAAAGTAACGACATGACTCCCAATATTAATTGAAATGCTTTTATGGATTTAGAAAATGATTTTATTGATTTAAAAAATAGTTTTGTATTGATTTAAATTGACATGCATCCGCTAAGAAAAATAGTGCGTGTTACTGTTTGAACTAACGTAGCAACGGCAGGAACTGCTTCGATAGTGTTTTTGAGGAGCTTTTTGATTACAGATCCAAAAAAAATCGCGGTTTTTCGGTTTAGCCATTTCACAAACCGTAGGAAAGTAAAAATGCGATTAATCGTGAAAACCGAAAAAATCGCCCAGCCCTAGTTAAGAGCATTCCATGGAATATAACAAAAAGTTATCTCGAGCCGGTTTCTAAACTTACCTACCCCACCTTTAATGCCATCCATAGTTAGTATATCTTTAGATAATTTGTTTCGTAGATTCTTTGGGCCAAGTACAATAACTTCAGTTTTGGTCATGTTTAACATCAAAAAGTTTAAGGTCATCCACGTTTTAAGTCCTTGAGGCAGTCTTGAATTTTATTTAGATGATTAATTTCATCAGGCTTGATTGATAAATATAGTTGAGTATCATCCGCATAACAATGAAAATTTACAGAATGATTCCTTATAATATTGCCTAACGGAAGCATATATAATGTGAACAAAATAGGTCCGAGCACTGAGCCCTGTGGCACTCCATGGCTAACTTTGGTTTGCGTGGAAGATTCATCGTTGACACGTACAAACTGAGAACGCTCATGGAAGAGACTTAAGAATAGGTCTCTTGCTTAAGGACACATTGACATGTTGGGCCTGGGAATCTAACAACCAACCTTTCGATTGGTAGATGAACAATCTACCTCAGAGCCCCAGCATATTTTAATTTAAATCCAAAATCTATTTACGTAACAAACATACTTATTTTAAGTCTATCATGGTGCCTTTTTCTTGCCTAAACTTAAACCAATAAGTTTGTTTTTGTTATGTTTTCTTTCAATTTTCAACACATCCCCGCATGTTTAAAACTATGACAGAGAGAAAATGTAATTCTTCTATAACCCTTGTAATACCTTCCTAATTCCCCTATTTGAATACCAAAATTCCCCAATGATAGATATATATATATATATATATAAAAAATGTTTTTAAAGGAGACAATATCCCAGCTACACTTTGTTTTGAATAATCCTTTTCTGCTTTGCTTATAGCCTTTCAATATGTAGAGCTCTCTATGGCCCTATAGGAGGTACATAATCTCACAACCCAACAGCCTATTGAAGTGTTTTAGAAAGCGGAGAGAAAAATACTTTGTTGAGATGACGGAAAACAAGGTCGTGTCTGACAGATCACCGGGGGCTGGAGGAAGCTGGAGCATGCTAATTTCGTATCCAAAGTGTGAGACAGAGCTCTTCAGTGGAGGTGATGTCGGGTGAAGTCCCCGTACTTTCATAGCCTCAGATATGTTTATCCTTGGGAAGAAACATTCCTCCTCTCCACATAATCAGAACGAGATATCTCAATAGGGTACATGGCATGCTGCTCTTTGTAAAAGCATAAATGCCAAAAAAACGAGATACTGATCTGTGTACTTTTGTTCCCTGCTACAGATTTACAGAGTTTCTGGAGCCCTTTGAGAGAGTGATTCAACCAGAGGAGCTTTGGCTCTACAAGAATCCCCTCGTTGAGTCAGACCACATTCCCAAGAGGGTCATGTTCGTAAGTACCTGCTGTCCAATTTTTCATTCCTCCTGTTTCAGACTTGATTGCCAAAAAATATGAACATTTTGGTCTACATGACGTGCATCCTCTGGTTTATTCTTAGTGATCTTTGCGCTGCAGAAATCCTTCTATTAGGATGATCAATGCTGCAAAGCCTCTTGTTTCCGCTCTTGAGTTCAGGCTCTGAATCTCGTTTATACAGATACAAAAAGGGCTTTACTGAGCTGTGCCGATTAACACTTCCAACATATATATATATATATACAATCAACTTGGACAGAAGTGGGCGAGAAAAGGTTCAGATGAATTTCTGCTGCGCGAAATGAATTGGAATTTTTATTCTGCTGTTAATTACTGAGAAAATAACCTAAAAAATCTCTTGGAAAAAACATTCCCTTTGTCAACACAGTTCTCAGTGGCTTCATCCCTGGCTTCAATGCAGTTGACAGCTTACTGAGCATCACAGGAATCATTCCAATATTGTTGTGAGTCATACATTGTTTACAGACTTGGAAGGCGGACGCAAGATGGTCCTATTTTCAAAGAGTGATAATGGTGAAATATGACAACACATACGATCAGTAGTCGAGTTGAGGGGGGATGAGGGGGGATGGCATCCCCCCTGAAATAAAAACTGTCAAAATCATCCCCCTTCTAAAACTGCCATTCCCCCTTTCCATCCCTTATGTAATTTTATCAATGAACGTGGCACTGGTATTACTGCTATTTCAACATTAATTTTGCACATTTTGAGTTAAATACTGTGGGCGAGGGAGCACGCACACACGCAATGACATTTTTACCAAGTCACTGACGCTATACTATGCGAGTGCCCTAGTGAGCGCCGTGATGCGCCTGTTTGATCGATGCCAGAAGCGCAGGTAACGGTCATCACAATGGCCAAGCGACCAGGAGGACAACGCGATCTGAGGGACTTCATATTTAAAAATACTAAAAATAACATTTCAGGTAAGTCAAGAGTCAGTAATCTTAGTCATTACTCATTACTTTAGTCACCAAAGGTGGAATCTATGGACATAAGCAGCAATAACAACTTAGTTTGGAGTTATAGGTTTTTCTCTCTTGTTAGCGAGCTGGTAAGACTCAAAACTGTTGATGAAATGATACCACCAGCACCAGAAGAGCTGAAACCCCTCCTTCAAGCTCCACAGCTGAGTGTGAACGTGGTTTAGTCAGATGAACATTTTAACCACAACTAGAAGCTCCCTAGAGGTAAAAAGCATGTCAGCCTTGCTTTTCATCAAGTGTGTTGGCCCTCCACTGAACAAGTTCAGACCAGAGGTATATGTCAAGACTTGGCTTCAAAGCCATTGCTTAGCTAACAATCCAAAAGCAAGAGCCAGATAAATTGAGACCAAAAAGCATGATTATGAAAATCTTTGGAAACTTCTATGAGATGGGAGAGAGTGGAGTAGGCAGCCATTGACAACATTGGTCCTATTTTGTATTATCTGTATAATCTTTTAATATATTTTCATATCTTGTAAACAATTTCCATTTTCACTTAATGCCCTGTTAAAAAAAGCAACATTGGGAATGTTAACATAAAATATTTGTATTTTAACTGCAATAAAATGATGACGGATCAATATATATATTTTTTTTCCCTCAAATTTTTTATGAAGTGTTTAATTTACATAATGATTTAATTAATTACGATACAAATGTAACCCTTTAGATACGAGTTTTGATCGTATACCAGTAACTGCTTTTTTGAAAAAATACACTATAATTCAATATTCTAAAAACTATTTTACCTTTATTATTAGTATAATCAGTTGATCCATCTGAATAATAAATGAGGGACTGTTAACCTACAAGATTTATACCATAGACTTCCATTATAACCACATTTTTGTATCCCCTCCCCCCCTTTAAATTAAAGTGAAAAAAAGATTTTGCACTAATTGTCCTCTGCATTTGACCCTAAATGTTAGTGGTGCCATGGCAGCCTGGGGACCGACTCTAATTCTGAGGTGCCTTGGTCAAGAGCAATGAAAGGAGTATCTGAACATCCATAACATGCATGTTGTTTTAGGAGTATAATAATTATCTTTATGCTGGTTGGTCTCCCACCCTCGGCGGGTTATCAGCACAAATGATGTCCCCATATGATAAAATCCACCATCCCCCCTGATTTATTTTTACAACTTGAGTACTGCATACGATGCCAAAACAAAAGCTGTGGCTAAACCTGTGAATAATAAACTAAATGTGCCACCAACATACACCATAACTGACATGAAACGTTTGGGAGAAAATTGGTGTTCGATTTGGATGAAATGTTTTTTTTTTGCTTCCTTGCTGTGAATTTGATACTAAAGATTCATACCACTGTCATTTCTGTAAAAACGTATGGTGACGCACTAAAGTGTAGCTTAGCATGAAGATTGGAAGCGGTGGGAGAATACAGTATAGCATATATCGGAAGTATAACAAGAATTTCCTTAGTGGTTGCGCAAAATCTGCAACCACTTACATTATGCCTCCATGTAATCACCTCCATGGTCAAATTAGATAAACTTGAACGTTTAGAAACTATTGGCAGACTGTTTAAAGTTTGTTGAACCTGAATGTGTTTTCACATTAGCACTCAAGGACAGACATTGAGTCCTGATAATGATTGCATTCTGTTCCCTGTTTGCTCGTATAATTAAAAAAAATTCCGCCAAATTAAACAACAATCAAGTCATCTTTCATAGGCTTCAGGCCATGATCTAGGAAGGGTTAGCATGTGGTTGAGAGTTTTAGATGAATAGTCAACAGTTTCACAGTCTGATGTCCAAATGCTGTGCAGTTGGACATCAGACTGTTAAATCAAACAATCAAACCTACTTAACAGGCAAAGGCAGGCCTGTCCAATTGTTTAGCTCTCCTCTTTGCCAACTGACAGCTCTTGACTGAGTAGCTCTGCAATCTGTCATATGCTCGCCCACACACATCAATCTTTCATTTTGGACAGAAACAGCTGCAGAGTAAGTGTTCAGCACTACACCAGTCGTTTCAAGCTAGAAGTAATCCGCTTCTGTAAATGTAAACTTTATGGAGCAGTTCTCTCCTACATAAATAAGTAACAAAATAGGTACAATCAACTGTTGATAGTGATTTAAGGCTTAGCTTGACTCCGCTTAAAGGGGCTCTATTATGCCCTGCATATGCTTGGGTTTTTTCGTTTTAATCTTTGTTTACTTTACCATAACATAATGACATCACTATGCAACACCCACGCTTCTATTGGCTCGCGCGCCAACACATTGCACTTGATAGGTTAAGAGGCAGGGCATCATAAAAAAAGTTGACAAATCATAACAGAGCCGGCCTGCTAATCTGGTTTCAGACAGAGGGTGAATGAGGCAGTATGAGAAAATTAAAGAGCATTTTGAACATTAAAGCATGGAGACATGTACAGTAGAGGCACAAAATACAAATACAAAACCTGAAAATGAGCATAATAGCTCCACTTTAATGAAGTTAAGAAGCTTGCATGTATTTAGCCAATGGTAAACATAAAATGGGTAAAACATCAATGGAGGCAGATTTGTTCATAGATAAAACACTGAGCTTTAAATTGTTCATCAACAAATCATTTGTTATAGTTGCTTATAGGTGCATTGACTATAGAGAGACTCCACTAATCAAGTAGAAAACAAATGAACGCCTATTAGCCTTTTAGACACCATAATGCTGAGCAGATGAACCCGTGAGCTTAAACACAGGGTATCTGAACTCTTTTATTTTCTTATTTCTGTTTTTATCATGCTATTAAAAAAAAATGACAGTTTATATTAACTTCAATGTCCATGGATCTTTGCTAGTGACAGGCCACTAAATAGTGAAAGAGACCCCCTTCCCCTCAACCCACTGACCTCTTAGGGAAAATGCTTCCAGTGCTGAGACCCAACAGTCAGCCTTCTTCAATGTCACCGCGCTGACAGTAGCCCTGAAGCTGGGGGGAATTTATCTGGCCATTAAAAATAGTCCTATGGAAGGGATTTACATTATGAAGCTACATTATGAATCACTGCGTCCTTCATTAAGCTATATGCTGGATTAGTTTGCATAGCCTCAAGAGTCTCTCTCATTATGTGAGGGGAAGTAATTTCTTCAGTGTTTGGTATTTATTGTAGGACCCAATGATCAGTGTAGCCGAAGTTCTGGTTTCTGTCTGTACATTATGTAAGCAGGCTGATACTAGTGTACAGACCTCAAATCAGTGGATACAATCAAACCTAATCTTTGAGGAAATCTCAAAATTCCCATTTTCTGCAAAGTTCATGAAACTCACAGGAAAACAAATACTGAGCATTTCCAGAGGAGATATTTAGAATGCAACAAAATGTGAAAATAACAGAAAATTATACTAAAAGATTTGTACTTAACGATACAGACCTTGGGAATGTCCCTGACAGCTGCAAATGCGAGTCCCCGCTCTCGGCAGTTATTCACATACCAAGATAAATCTGACCTTTAAAATCTTGTTTGACAGTAGGGCTATACTGAATGTAATTTGTCCCATGAACACTTTGAATAAAGTGATTTCTCTGAATTAAATGAGTTAGCCTTTTTTGATTAAATCAACCTTTTATATTAAAATAACTCGTCAGTGCTTGCCTTTCTTTGTGAATAGAGGGAGAGCAGTCAAAACACAAACATTGATTGAAGCTGAGTGTAATGCTGAAAGCAAGTTGTGAATTTTGGAAATGATTGCATTTATATTCTTTCAATGAGTTTACTTTCAGACTTCCTTTGGAATTGTCTTTTTTTTATCACACCAGTCCAAAACAATCCTACGCAGCCAACACTGGAATCTAATTCTGCAAATAGTATTATACTACCAATATTACTGTAGCATAATTAATATAACCACTAACTGTTCTTCTACAGACACATTTTTTTATTATTATTCCGCCGACTTATTTGGCCCTCTTCTCCTCCCGCATTGAAAATCGCAGAAACTCCGTTCAAACATCAAAACG